TGGGACTTTCCATGATGTAAACCAACCATAACGTTTTTACTTACAGAGATAAGTAAAACAGTATTCTGCTGTCTGGGGAAATTCTCTGTCACAGCTGTACCTGGTTTACATGGGTAGTCTTCCTCTTAGAGTAATCTCTGCTTCAGCTCCTGGTGTAAGGGAAAGAAAAAAGACTGCAAAGGGCAAAGCAAACATACACATGGCAGATTTATCCTATGTGATTTTTCACTGCAGTAAGTTCAGGCTTGTGACAGACTCTTAGTAGGTTGTTACCACCTCCAGCCCACCAGACTTTTTATCTGCTCGTGAATCAGCTTTGGAACATTGCCTTTTTTCTCTTAGTGCATCACACTGGCTAAGTAAATACTCCAGATTGAAAACTGAGTAGCTCGGGAGCTGGGTTGTATATCAAATATTGCTGTCTTAGAGATGGTGATGCTCTTTATAGCACAGGCAGTTGGAGTTAAATGATCATTTGTCACCACATGTCTGTTAGAACTCACAATAGCAAAATTTAATTGTATTGTTAGATGTTAACTTGGCTTGTTACCCAGCTTCTGATGGCACTAGGTAGCATAGGATCAGACAGCTGAAATCAATTTTGGGAAATCACAACTTCTGTTTAGGTTGATCTGAGTCCAAATAATCTGTCATACTGACAGCAGGTAGGAGATGGGTCTATGAGGAGTTCTATGTGCAAGTACCTTGATTATCAGTGTCAGATATGGTTTTTATACAGAGCTGAAAATGTGGGTTTGAAGAGCTGTATATACAGTGAAAACTGAGATGTATAATATACTGTAATGGAACATCTCAACTACTTGATCTTTCCTTACCCAAATGATCCTTAAATTTTCATTTATTTCAAACTTGTACAAACACATGCCAGGCATTAAATTAGATTGCAAAGGCCGTATCCACAAAAAAAGGGTGGATGGGAATGTGAATTCTGGAAGCTATTTGGTATTAAAAAATGCTCTAAAGAATTGAAACTGTGTATAATTCCAATCCTGGAAATATATTCCTGTTGGGTGAAAGAACTAGGAAATTTACTTTTTTAAAGGGAAAAGATAAAAAATGAGGATTCTGCCTTCAACAAAAGGAAGTAGAGGTGGCTGCTTCTCTACACCCCCTCCCCCCATGTGCTTTAGAACTTGGCTTTAGAGGCAGCACCCAGAAGGTGAGGTAACACTGCTTGAGCTGGTTTCTCAATCCAAAATCTAAAGACACTGTGGAATTTTCAGTCATCACCCGACTGATAGGAAGAGCCATGGTATGTGTCAGAGGTAATGTAATGAACCAATACTGTAGTATTTTTTCATGCTTCTTATCTCGTCTCCATGACTGCAGTGAAAAAGTTAACTTTTTGTTCTGCATAACACTTCCATTGTTGCCTGGAGCAATAAACCCAGAGCATTTATCTAGAGGTACTAAACTGAGCTAAGGAGTGCGACTTGCCTCCTCCATGGCCCCTCCAAAAAAGAAACAGCTGTAGATAGATTTGTAAGCATGGTGTCTCCCAGGAATCTGCAAACCTCCGTGCTTAGAGGAAATAGTTAACTTTTTTAAGGAACTCCTAATTTCCTGCATGTGGTTTATCTAAGATACTTTCATGCGTTTCCAGGGCAGGGTGACCTCGAAAGAAAATCGATGTTACATTAAAAAGTACCTTTAAGTTTATAAAAATTCATCATAGTAGTTGAATCTCCTTCATATGCATGTATCTTTAATAATTTAACTTACATTTGAAGAATTTAGTGATAGTAATCAAATCTGAGACAGCTCTCACTTTTGGATCACTGCTTGAGCTAACTGTGTTCGAAAAAGCTTTTTTATGTAAACTGATCCACACAAGTTACAGTTTTGTAGGAGATTTCCAAAGTACGTTTTGTGTCAAATCTAATTATGCCTGATAAGAAAAAGACGCCACTAAATTTTAAGTGAAAAATCAGGAGAATGCTGATTATGGCATTTGCCGTGGAAAGGAATGTGGATGTGATCTGTTCTAATCAAGGGTGTCAGTAGAATTCACAGATATTTTTTAAAAGCAGAATTCATAATTCCTTTAGTACAAATGCCCTTTGCATCTGTATGCTCCAGAAATGCCATCGATCCCATTGGTTGTAGTAATAAGTCACCTGTAATGATTGAAAAAATGGACCTATTAAGCTTTGTTCTCAACAAGGAAATCCGCTTTAAGAAAGCTCAATTGCTGTGGTAGCAGCTTTTTTAGATAAGGCATCTGGAAGACAGTACTACAAACAATGTTTCAACGAGGTGGTGGCAGGTGAGCTCAGATAGGAAAAATTTGGATGCATCTAGAAGCAAATTAGCATGATTGATAACACCTGGGGGGGGAGGTTATTTGAAAAAGCATGGTGAGTCATTCAGGGTTGCTGTTGCCTGTAATATTTCTCTTTCACTATATATGAGCTGTTGTGAGATGCATAAAGAACTTTGAAACAGTTTCCAAAGTTTTGCAAATGCTCAAAAGTCTGGTCTGAATTGGGCAAACTTGATTTGATCTACTACAGCTGTCATTTGTGTTCTTAGTGACATGATAGAATTAATTCTTTATTGTTGTGTGGCATTGTAGTAGCACTATGAAATACTGACCAGCTGCATTAGTAAGAGGTATTTCATTGTGTCTTAAAGCGTAAAAGGGACTACACTTTAAGGCAAGATATTGTAAAAGCATTTAGATATCCTTGCTGGGGTAAAGAATTCAGAATTAATTTCATGATAAGCTAATGTATAAAACAATACTCATGCTTCTCACCCAGGATAATTGAAATCATCTTAGGTCAAATAATATTACAGGAATGTTTAAGGATGGCAGTGACTTTAACATTGAAAAGCAATTGGTACACAATGCAGTTTCCCCATAGGGACTTTTCTCCCCCAGGACAAAACTGGAATAGGTCAGATATCAGATTGTTAGGTTTTTTAGGGGATGGGGTAATCTAGATTCCACATGCCGTTTCTGACTCTTTTATTTCCTTATCAAGCAACTGAAATATTTTTGTGCTAGTTATCAGGTAGGAATTAAAGTTATAACTCTAGGAATAAAAGCCCATTTCATCCTAGTTTCCATACTTTTCGTTATTTTCATCACAGTGGAAATGTTTAGCTCAGTAAAACTAAATATAGTCCTTCCTTTGTAATGTTCGGACTCGAGGCTGAAGACAGTAACCATTTGGTTTCATCTTTTGAAACTTTATGCTCTTGGGATTGGTAAATTTATATTATGGGCATTTATATTTTGGGGTGTTTTAAAGTTAAGCTCTTGGTGCCCTTCTGAAGAAGTGCTATTCATCAAACGGCGTATTTTTGGAAATTTACCCGTATTTTGTTTGTCTTGTCAGTTTCAAAGCATTTTGAGCTATTCATGGCACTGTGAGATTTCTGCAATTACAGTGTTATGCTTCATTTCAGGGTAGTGTTCCATATGGAATATGATATACTTACAAGATTTAAGGTAGTAACACAATTGTCTGTCCTGCCTGAACACAAAATGTGTTCCAAGCACCATTTAAACTTTACGATAATGTGCAAAACCTAAAATTTATGGAACATCATCTAAGAACCTGTGCATGCTATGGACATCCTAGAAAATAATCTCCACCTTAATTAACACTGGTTCAGCTCTTGTACCACTCTAACAGATATTGATTATATGGGCTGTTGAATCCTTTTAAAAGATGGTGCTGTATAATTATGCTGGATTTAATTGATAGGGTTAGTGACAGTAATGGCAGCTCCTGATGTACTTAAATGATACCTCTGTGTAGCATCTCTTGGTAGATAAGAAGAAATTATACCTTTGTGTGCATATGCAGGGAGAGCCTGAAGTGTTTTATCTTGATAGGGTAATGAATTTGTATTGTGGTTATCTCTGTGTGTATCAAATCAGACTTTTCAATATATTGTGCAGATTCTTTTAAAAATCGTAAGAATTGTCATGAGTGTGGGGCAGGCAGACAGATCAGCAATACCCAATAAGGACAAGTCAGAGGTGAGGAAGATAATTAAAGTTTCTCACATTGGTTGGAGGAAACACAGAATTATTACTTGGGAAGATAAGACTGTAAAAGAAAGTGAATTTAGCAGTTCTGGTAATTCCCTTACGCAGAATGAATAATTAAGGGGATAACATGGGTTGGGTGTCTGTCTTAGACAATGTAGTAATATCATGATTTGTTTTCTTAAAATTGTAAATATGTACTAATTCCCACTATTATCAGTTATGAAATTTTTTTTGTAACATTTTATTTGAAGGAAAGAAGGTTGGGAAAATATATTCTGTGATTATAAAACAACAACTGACATATTCATACAATATCTAGAGTGTCCGCGATATTCATGTATGCTGATATTCAGAAACTACAAAAGAAAGAAATGTTTTTAACTGGTGCCTGTAGTGTAGCCTGTGCTGTTTATTGCTCGGGCACAGCTTTGAGACTTACCTGTGGCTTTCCCTGCTTTTGGAAGTTGTCAAGAAGTTAATTGATTGGTTTGCTAGTTCAGAAATTAATTTGTGAAAATGTTGCTAGTACATTTCAATAAGTGCCTGCTTGTCTGCTCACACCATGTCATATTGGTGTTACAGCAAAGTGGAAGAAATCATTATGGTTTAGATCCTGTCAGAATTTAGAAACTCAGATTTCTAATAGTTAAAATCAAGAATTGACTTCATTATTGGAAAAAAAAAAAAGAGGAATAGTTCTGCCATACAGCTTTTTTGAAGGATGAATTAAACAGGACTTGATGCCTGTGGAGAGCAAAAACTTGACATAAAGAGATGGTTTAAAAATCTATGACGTACGTTACTTTGTGGTACCTACGTGAATTTCCACTGAGAACTTGTAAAAAACACAGTAAATTGAAAACAAAGCCTCAAATGATACTTCTTGTGGCTCTGTACTGACTTTGTAGATGCTAAGTTAAGTAGTCAGAGGGTTTATTTCTGACAATGAGAATCTTTTTCTATTCTTTGACAGCCACGAGCTGTCGCTGGGTTTCGAGGAACAGTACGATATGCATCAATCAATGCTCATAGAAACAGAGTGAGTATCTCCGTTGATATCATACCCATCTCATGTAGCTGAAAACAGTCTGTACAGCAATTGCTATTACTTTTCTGTCTTCTTATGAATGTATTTATTATGTGTTCTTATGTGTGTATTTACTATGTATAAATTAATACTGTAAGTATTGGTTAAATTCTAATTTCAAAATATATATATGTAGAAATTAATACTTACTAATTTTGGGAAAGGATAATACACAGTAGTTGTGGGTAAATAACTTCTTGTTGTAGAAATAATAGTGAATTTAGTAGTTATCCTTGGTGTTCAATTGTATTGTAAGTTAATAAATTAAAAGGTGAAGTTACTGAGTTCTGTAAAATACATAATGTCCAATATGTTAACATCATACACTGAAGAAATCTGAATAAACAGCTCTTCCAGTATAGAGATTTTTAATGTTATTTTAACATACTTTAACTTCTGTTTTGCTTCTGTGTGTCTTCTATGGAAATTTACTACTTACAGTAGTTGCTGGATTTAATTATACAAACTTTTTTTGCAGCATTGATTATATTATTTTTTAATCTATACTAATTATACAAAGCAGTAAAGAATCTATCCTCCCTTTTGTCTTCTAGGTATTTGTAAGCTTCATTAGTTTAATATTTCTGTTTTTACAGGAAATGGGTCGGCATGATGACCTCTGGTCCCTGTTCTACATGTTGGTGGAATTTGTGGTTGGGCAGCTGCCTTGGAGAAAAATAAAAGATAAGGTAAACCTAGAAGTGAAACCAAAGAGCATGAGGGAGATTTACTTCTGAATTGCAGGCGAATGCTGTGATAAAGATTACACTAGAATCTCTAGTTCATTAATTTTAACATTACATTTTCCAGCATTTTCTAAGTGTTAGTTCTCATTGCTCGTGTCATGGTGTAAAAAGCAATCAAGTTTTATGAACTGTTCTAGGCAGGAAGTGGATTACACGTCTAGTTTGCAAATGTTTAAAAGCCAAAAGTGTATATATGCCATTTATTTAATTTTCCTGTTTTCACTTGAATACTTTTTTATTTCCCCAATCACAGATTTAGGATTTCTCATCTATTTTGATTATTTGTGAAATGGGCATTTCTTATTTGCTGGTGAACAAAATTGAATCAGTCAATATACAGTAATGCCTTTAGTCATACATAACGCAGGTGACATACGTGAAGAAACAACATCTATTTAGCCTATTATTGCTTCTTTCAGCTTTTTTTTTAAATTAGATTTAAACCAAGTTAGTCGCTGGTGTAGTTTATGCATTGGTAGATGACAAGTGGTATACAAGTAGTATGTCTTTTTATTTTTTTTATTTTGATCTATTCCTATTACACCAAATAGGATTCAATAATCTTATGCAATATACTGTGATGACCAAATATACACCAAAAAGTGACTGAACTTCAGATGATGCCTTGATGTCACACAGCATTCGAACACAGCAGAAAATTAAACAGCATTTCATACTGAGTTTGAAGTTTGTGCATTATTTTGCGTGTGTACTGAGGGCAATGACAGAATCTCTTATCTTGCTATCTGATGTATAATTGTTTTCCTCTGTCATATTCAGTGTAATATAGTTGCCTGTCTTTCTGGCCAGTAGTATACTGAATGGCTGTAAGTTACAAGGTGAATATGTCATAGCACAGAATGAAGGAGTATTAATGTTTGCTGTGATATTTGCTCCTAGGAGCAAGTGGGCTCCATTAAAGAAAGGTACGAGCACAGACTTATGTTGAAACATCTTCCCCAAGAATTCAGCGTCTTTCTGGATCACATTGCTAATTTAGATTACTTTACAAAGCCCGATTACCAGGTAAACTTTTATACTATTTTTTCTTTCTGATTTGTAAATAGCAGATTTTTATGCTCTTCCAATTTCCTTTGATTTCAGTAAGTGGTCTTGGTACTGATTATAGGTTGTGCCACCATGAAGTTCTTTTAATAACCATCTAGTGCCATGGAAACTCTGTGATTCAAAGATGTTATATTTTTCCATTTGGGAAGAGTAAGACCTTCAAGTTTCTAAAAACAATTGGCAGTTGCTTTGCAGTCATAGCAGTATTTTTGTTAAACATCGCTGTCCGTGACATGGACAGTGGGATTGAGTGCGCCCTCAGCAAGTTTGCCGATAACACCAAGCTGTGTGGTTCGGTTGATACGCTGGAGGGAAGGAATGCCATCCAGAGGGACCTTGACACGCTTGTGAGCTGGGCTGATGCCAGCCTTACGGAGTTTAACCATGCCAAGTGCAAGGTCCTACAGCTGGGTTGGAGCAATGCCAGGCACAGCTACAGGCTGGGCAGAGAAGAGATTCAGAGCAGCCCTGTGGAGAAGGACTTGGGGGTGCTGGTTGATGAGAAAATGAACATGAGCTGCCTTCAGTGTGCGCTTGCAGCCCAGAAAGCCAACCATATCCTGGGCTGCATCAAAAGGAGCATGACTCTGCTCTCATGAGACCTCACCTGGAGTATTGTGTGCAGTTCTGGTGTCCTCAGCATAAAAAGGACATGGAACTGTTGGAACAAGTCCAGAGGAGAGCCACAAGGATGATCAGGGGACTGGAGCACCTCCAATATGAAGATAGGCTGAGAAACTTGGGGCTGTTCAGCCTGGAGAAGGCTGCATGGGGACCTTATAGGAGCCTTTCAGTATCTGAAAGGGGCTTATAAGGATGCTGGGGATGGACTGTTCATTAGGGACTGTAGTGATAGGACAAGGGGTTACGGGCTCAAACTTAAACAGGGGAAGTTTAAATTCGATATAAGGAAGAACTTCTTTACTGTAAGGGTGGTGAAGCACTGGAATAGGTTGCCCAGGGAGGTTGTGAATGCTCCATCCCTGGCAGTGTTCAAGGCCCGGTTGGACAAGGCCTTGGGTGACATGGTTTAGTGTGAGATGTCCCTGCCCATGGCAGGGGGGTTGGAACTTGATGATGTTAAGGTCCTTTCCAACCCTAGCTATTCTATGATTCTGTTAGGATCAGGTGCTGTCCTCCTATTGTAGCTTCTAGTGGGTGTTCCTTAAGTTAAATTGATCACATTGTTTCCTCAGTGATAGTCATTCTGTCAGTTTTCCAAAATCTGGAGGTGAGCACCATATACAGCTATATACAGCTTAGAGCACAGCATGCAGCCATGATGGGTTTTCAAGGATGTAATACTGATTACAGAGATCACCAAAACCCTAGTCGTTTCGATTGCTGCTTTGAGTCGGGCTCGGTATGAGTCAGCTATTGTGCATCACTTGTGATTTCTGAGCTTTCATTTCTTCTCGTGTTGTTTCCTATTATTATTGTTATTATTAGTATTCTTTCTAATATCATTGTATTTTGCTTTGTTTTAGTTATTAAACTGTTCTTATCTCAACCTGTGGGGTTACATTCTTCTGTTTCTTCTCCCCATCCTGCCCTGGGTAGGAAAGGGGTAAGGGAGGGGAGGTGTTAACAAAGGGCTGTGTGGTGCTAAGTTACTGGTGGGTCTAAACCACAGCAAGAGTTTACAGTCTAAAAAGTTCATCACACAGGCCCAGAATCCATGTTAGATTTGGCAATGTCAGATATGTTTAGTTTATTCAGGTATTTATGCACACATTGCCACAGCCTCCTGACAACATTAAGCACTTAAGTTTATATTTGCATTATAGTTGAAATTTTAGGAACGATTTAAAGGAGAATGACCTTAGAAATTACTTCAGAGAGACTGCTTAAGGTTTACAGGAAGATAAGAATAAAGGAGAGTACGTATGGGACGGAGAGTGAAATACGGCTTCATGCAGTTCAGTAGCACTCCGGAGCTGATGGATAGATGGCCCACCAAAGGTTCTTGAGAATAAGGATGCCACCACTTTATACAAGAAAAACAATCAAAACTTCCCATCCTTTTTAAGTTGTGAAAGGGTATGTGTTTTCAAGGGAGGCCAAAGAAAAATTTTCATCATCCTAGACTGGAAGAAAGGATGAACACTAGAGTTTCAGTTTTGGAGGGGGCAGATGGATTAACTTTAGAAATATTACAGAGTAAAGAGATTATGTGATATGGACACAGCCTCCCACCAGTAACTAGAATGAGACAAAGTTTATTCAGGGGGAGAAGAAAGTAGATGGAATTCCTTTCTCTGTCATGGAAACAACTTGTTCTAGTTGCTTTTTTGTAGCATAAAATGAGGGTGGAAAGCTTCCAGTATGACATTTCTGTGGGTGAATGTCAGCATTAGATAGAGTAAACAATACATACTTCTAAATGACAGAAATATGTGAATTAACAAATCTGTATCCTCCCCTACATACTTATTAACTTCTTTGGTTTCTAATGGTGTTACTGAATATACTTCTTCATCTTCCTCTGCCGGAGAGCTGTTGGATGCTATCCTGCAGTGATGTAGTTGTGTGTATGTCTTTCTGTCTTTTTATGGAAGCCTATGGTGTATCTTTGCCTCTCTTAACTGATAAGAACACAGATGTGGTTTGCTTCTTTATTTTTAAATTTTACATCCCTTGACTTTGGAACCTTGGAAATTGGGAAATGGTTAATATAAAGAACTGTGTCATTTTTCTTTAAAAAATTGTTGTCAGTCAAAATCTTAAAGAAGAGACATATAAAGTATTACAGGAAGATATTTCGTAATTGCTTGATCTCTTAGACAAAATGAAGCTTATTAACTTTCTTCTTCATTTTTAGCTTCTCATGTCTGTGTTTGACAATAGCATGAAAACATTTGGGGTTATTGAAAGTGACCCTTTTGACTGGGAGAAGAGTGGAACTGATGGCTCTCTGACCACAACAACAACTTCAACCACACCTCAGTTACATACTCGTCTTACTCCGGCTGCGATTGGGTATGTATTAGCATGTATTAAGTATGCACTTAAATTGTGGTCACTTAAAAAGCAGTCACAGAGTACCAGAGAGAAATTATCTCCATAATTTAGGGTTTTTTTTTCTGCAGGATATTGAATAAATAGAGGAACGGAGGTTTGGGAGCATTTGAAATGTTTCTTTTTTTAGGGTTCCTGTTCATACGGTCCTAAAAGATCCTGATAGATTTTGGTTGCATTTAAAAATAATACTTAATGTGGTCTCTGAGATCTTCTATAATTAAGCAAGTTGGACTCATCTCAAGAGATTGAAGAAAGTAAGAGGTGTTTATGGGTGTGGAGAAAGACACTGAGCCTGTTCTAGGCCTTTAATAGATACAGTTTTTATCTAAGAGTCATGAAGGTTCTGATGTGGGAGTTTTGACTGTGTAGTGAGGCTGAAAAACACCAGAATTTCATGTAGAATGTATTAGATCCCAGTATTTCAGAGTAATTAAAAAGTAATTTAAAATAAAGTGTTAAATATCAGTCAAGACATTAACTGGTGTTAATATTACACAGGTGTACAGTATGCACTGTTGAAAACACTGAAGTTGACAGAGATTTTGCATGTGATTCAGTACCATTATCACATGAAGAGTCACACTGGAGTTATTTATAATCTCAGCTGCAATTTTGGTGATTGTAAAGAAATGACTTTTAACTGACCTTCTGACTGCTTTCTAGAAACAGCATTGCTTCAGTTTCACAATACTGAGTTAAGCCTTAGACCTAAATCACTTGAAGTTCTGGGATTAAAGAACTTCAATTAAAATGTAGTATTTTGCTAGTGTTATGCTTATGTTTTGATCATCAGTAACTGGACCAAAATAGCACTTTGATAAGAATAGTGATTAAAACAGCATTTAATTTGCTGAGTGATCTCTCTTCTTAACATAATACGTTTTGTTATTCTACCGAATTTTGCAGAAAAGGAAACTACATTATGAATATTGACATTAATATTTTTTCTACATACAAGGATATGTAGAAAAGTTGGGGGTCTGGACATGAACTCTTAACAAATTTTCTCAGAAATTTCTTCCAAAACAGTAAAAAACCCAGCTTTTGAGTGATTGTTTTTTGATTTGCTCCTTTTGTTACGTGCCTAAATTAAAGAAACATAAATTGTGAAAAGCCAACAAGTAGGGGGTTTTATATTAAATACTTTGCAAGATGTATTTTTCTACAGAAGCATGCTTTTGCTTGTATTTTCTTGCTGCTTTCTTTTCAGAGAGTAGAAAATCATTTTAAGAGATACATTTTTGTTTCTGATTTTGTGTTTTTTTTTTTTTTTTTAACTGCTTTTGTAGAATTGCCAATGCCACTCCTATCCCAGGAGACTTGCTGCGAGAAAACACAGATGAAGTGTTTCCTGATGAACAGCTCAGTGATGGAGAGAATGGTATTCCTGTTGGTGTCTCACCAGAGAAACTACCTGGATCCCCTGGACATCAGCGTCCTCAGGAAAAAGATGTTTGGGAAGAAATGGATGCAAATAGAAACAAAATAAAACTAGGGATCTGTAAGGTACTTAGAAATCTGCATTGTAAAGATCATCTTTGAACAGTTTCCTGTCCTCATAGTGCACATAAAATGTACTTAATATTGCAGTCTTACTAATATTGGTTAGCCAGAATGGTCTAAGGAAACAAGATTTATGGTAGAGCTACATATTTTATTGGAGTGATTTGCATACTGGAACAAGCAGACAAGCTCTTGGGCCTTGTATCACTTTATCTGGTCTTCATGATAAATAGTAGATTACTGATAATTTGAGCTTCTTTGTAGTTTATTCCTGTTCTTCAGACATGATTTTGATTCTTGCTCACTAAGTGAAACCAAAGCAAACTTTATGCATCCTGCAAGTATAAAAGTTAGATACTGAATATATGAAACCTACTTAAATACTAGTCTTCAACTGACAGATTGACAGTGTGATTGGCAGTATCCATTTAATTCACTTGGTGTTTTTGTCTCCATAAGATACGATACCATTGTATCTATCCAAAGAGGTTCAAGGGCTAGTCTTTAAAAGAGAATGCTGCTCAGTTTTGGAAAGTGATCTCTGAGAAGTGGTTCCTATCTTCCTTGCTCATAATCACATTTCATAGTCTGTTTCTTGATATAAAAATGTTTTGAACATAAAGAGGGATCTGGTACTAAAATCTCCTAGCTAAAATATTTATCTAGGAAAGCTGTCTAGTTTTGAGACTGTTACTTCTTGTAGTAGAAAAAAATTATTGCTGGAAAGAATGAGGCATATAGTGCCTATTTTCAAATGTGTTTTGTTTTTTTTTTTTTTTTTTACCAAAGAGGGATTAAGAAATTGTTCTGATTTAAACAATTTCTATTAGTTATACCTGTTGAAGCTAAGGATGATCATGATTTCCTAGGTCTAAAGCATGTCTAGTTAGTATAAAAGATGGAATGTGGTTGAACTAAAACATAGTTCTGAGTCACAGGAATTATGTAGTAGATTTAGTGTATAACAGTGTTATGTGCTTCAGAGAATCATAAAGGCAGCTTGGAAGCTAACTTAGATTCATAGAATCATAGAATAGTTAGGGTTGGAAAGGACCTTAAGATCATCAAGTTCCAACCCCCCTGCCATGGGCAGGGACACCTCGCTCTAAACCATATTACCCGAGGCCAACTTTTTTTAAATAAGAGCACTTGACTATAGAAGCAGACTGAAGATGCTACCAAGTGCCAGGTTTCAGAGCATTAAAGAAAATTTCAGATGTGGGTGTGAAATACCAAAGTAAATTTAAGTGTATTACTGGGGTTTTGGAACTCCTGATCTCAGACCTACCCAGACCTAGTATGTCACCAGTATTTTGTCTGTTGTGTGCTGAAGAGCATATCTAAGCTTCCTTAACTATGTCATGAACTTAAGGGTTCAAATACAAATTATCACAGGCTAAAACCCTGGATTGTTTTTACCATGCAGTACTTCTTCTTCTTTTAACTGCTCTAAGTGAGTTACATTTTTACTTTACTTTTTGCACAGGCTGCCACAGAGGAAGAAAATAGCCATGGGCCAGTGAATGGCATGCTTAATGCCCCGAGCCTCGGTTCTCCGATTCGTGTTCGTTCGGAGACCACTCAGCTAGACAGAGATGTCCCACTGGTGCGAAAGTTACGTTCAATTCACAGCTTTGAACTGGAGAAGCGTCTGACGTTGGAGTCAAAGCCAGACACTGATAAATTTCTTGAGACCTGGTAAAGAAATTATCATTTTCTTATGCTTAGATCTTTTCAGGTTGTATAGTTAAGGTAGTATAATTCCTCTGCCAGGTGAAACCAGGAATGGAGCTGCTGTGTTAGGCTTATGTAAACTACAGCAAAGTATTCACTGCGTTCATAATATTGCTTGATTAATGGATCTCACTACTTGGTAGCTTGTTTAAAAAAACACTAGTGCTACTATACAGTTAAATTCAGACTTCCACACTTGAGAATTTATTTCAAGACCTAGTGGTGTAACCCTGATGCTTATTTCATTTTTCTTCAGTGGGATATTCTTGACAGTACAACTCATCTTAAGTAAGAATGATATCAGGTGCTCAATAGAGGTAACATGGGGTTAGAAGGACAGGAGAAGGACAGTTTACAAGAAGTGGAGTTATGAGGTAAAGTTGGGAATCTCTCTGCATGCAGCAGGTTTAGTTATGCCCAGAAGTGTTGTGTCAACATAAAAATTGATAGAAGACAGAGGTCTTAAAATGGAATTTGAAGGTAAAGAAGAGACAGATGTACAACAGCAGATTCCATCAATTTGCCTATGTGTACAAGGAGTAAGGGGAGGAAGGACACAGCGAAATCTGAGTGAAAGGTGGAGGCTGAGTTATGACAGAAGAGAGCTGAGAGGCTGACACTGGCAAAATCCTTCCAAATACATCAAAGTTGGGTTAGGAATTTGAATTTGTTCAGTGAAGGAAGTTATGCAAAGCCATAAGTAAGGAATTAATCAAAACAATTCATTCTTGAAAGCGTCTGGCAACTGCTGCTGGACACATCTGTTTCTTCTGTTCTGATTTGAGTCTGCTTTGTAGCATAAAATAAGCACAGTGGACATCTGGTGGTAGCCTCAAGAGTTTGAATCCACTCACTATTCTCTATTCTGGTAATTACATTTACAGTACAGTATGATACATTACAATTACCATATGTGTAAATCTAATACCACCCACCCTTTTTTACTTGACTTCAGAGTTACTTGTCTCAACCATTGTAGGTTTTAGATAAATACAGTTTTTCTCTGCTGAAACCCCTCAAATATAGCTTACGTTATTTACTTAATTATTAATTATTAACTAATTTCGATTTTATCCTCTTTTCTTAAGTTTGGGGAAGATGCAAAAAGACTTGAATGCTACGGCAGAGACTCCTGTTGCTGCTGTTCCTCCTCTTTCTCAGAAAACGCCTGCTCCTGTGGCTGCCCGCACGGACCATGTTTGGCACTATGATGAAGAGTATCTTCCAGATGCTTCAAAGCCTGTGTCAGCTAGTTCTCCAGAACATGCTGATGGTGTTATTAGCAATGGATTTGTAGCTGTTAACTTAAGCTCCTGCAGGCAGGAGGTTGATTCTAAGGAATGGGTAATAATAGATAAGGAACGGGACTTGCAGGACTTCAGAACAAATGAGGCTTTAGGGCACAAAGCAACTGGAAGTCCCTCAGATGAAGAGCCAGAGGTACTACAAGTTCTAGAGGAGTCTCCTGCAGAAGAGCAACCCAGACAGGGTGGTTGGGCAGGAAACAATGTCCATGCCAAGAACCAGACCTCAGGTGTGGAGTTAGTTCTAGCCATGGAGTGTCATCCTCCTGCTTCTGAACAACTTACAGATAAATTGGAACTTCTGTCAGGAGCTGCTGGACAGCTCGCAGCCACTCCTACAAGTCCTATGGAAGCTCAAGCAGAAGGAGCACTCACTCCGGTAAGAGAAACAGTCGCTTTATTGAACCTCTTTTTATTCAGACTTATTTGAGGAGAAAGGGAAAAGGCAGTGACTAAAATACAGTATTGTGGCAGAAATTTCTAGTTTCATCAGATATGGGACTTGATTCTTGAGGACTGATCTTTCATATTCTATTATATGAGTGTTTACATTCTCCCATGAAAGTAGCTTTTAATTCTGCAGATATGATCCACAGAACTGGCCTTAATTTATATAAATATTTCATATATATATATAAAATAAGGTCCTTATGCAGTGATTCCTAATCAGTGATATACATGCAAATGTATATTTATTATATTTGCAGTACATAAACGTAAAATTTAACTGAATGTGTAAAATACTGCATTACAATGTTTCGTGTGTTCCTGGAAAAGCCTAAATGCCTGAAATTAAAGAAACTGTGCTACTTGCTCTCACCGGCATTGACGTAGTGTTCTCTTTTGGAATTCCTTTTGTTTCTTCCTGTTCCTTCTGAAATTTCCAATTGTACTTATACAAACAACTTGTTAGCTTTAATAAATTGTTGCTACTTCTCACTTCTAAGATAGTTTTGCAACTACAGCTTTGCTCTAATGTTTTCACTAAGACAGATTGCTTTGCTTCCCTTGCACCCTCTTTTCTTTTGTGTTTGTTTTTCCTAAAGAATACTAATTTGCACAGTTTTTGAATGTTTACTTTTTTTTCCTCCTTTGTCACTAATTCTTAACAGACTTTATTGGCTTTAATTAAAGAGGAAGTGAGTTTAATTGTTAAGTGATTGGGAATCAGCTCCTGGTTTTATTTCTCCCCTTTTGTCACTAGGTATTGTGTCATCTATGACATCTGTGATGTAAAGGGCAATACTTTCTCATTAGAAAAAAAACAACTTGTCACCAGCTACTCATTTATTATAGGTGTGGAATATGCTTTATGGTAAAAATGAACTACTCATTTTACTTAACTGTAGCTGTACAGCAAAATTTCAAATACGCCTAGGTTCTCACGGAAAATGTAAGATCATATCTTTCATGCAAGATTATATTCAGCTATTGTACTTCATGGATTATGTAGCTTACAGAAAGTGCATTTTACATGATTCAAAATACAGAACTGTGTTAAACAGGAAAAGATTTTTGAGAGTTACATTGAAATATTAGTTGTAAGAGCTTTTGATGGGTTAGAAGCTTTAAAGGTGAAAAACTGAATTCCTCAGTTGTTTTTAGTTGTTAAGCTTTTGTATTTTATGTCAATTTTAGTAAAACAGGAAAGAGCAACACCTATTCCTGTACAAAATACCAATTAGCAGGTGGTTTTGTTTGAAAAGCCATTAAAAAACAGCTTGCGATTTTGTATGCAAATCCCACTTTACACAAACTTAGGTTTTGGGGGGAAATTGCTATTTTACTTATAACTGAAAGTAGAAACAATGTAAATATCAGGTACTACAGTGGAAACTGGCAGTATCTGCAAAGGAAGAAGCTTTTGAGCATGGGAGCAGAAATAGTTATAAACAAGATTAATTATAAGATTTATTGGAAGAAATACTGGTTGAAATAGACACTGGGATGGGATTATATTTTGGTTTGGCTTTGAAAGCAGGTAAGCGATATTTGTCACCACCTCAAAAATGGGGGAAATGAATATGGCTTATATTATCCTGCACGGGCAAGTAGTGCTGTGAGGGCAGGATAAATGTCAGGAAAGAACTTGTTGTTTCAAGGTGAATCATGTGGAATATAAATTATAAACTGAACTGGGAATAAAGAAAATAGAAATTATTTGGTTGGTTTAGAAACTGGGAACAGAGTGTGTCTATTCCAATTGTGATGGCAATTTGTGGTGGTCTACCATCTACTTCATTAGCCCTTGAAAGTCAGACAAAGCCCAGGAGGATATTTGGGAGTGAATTGTTCTCTCTGTCCTTCATTGGTGGTATTTCAGTACATAAAAGATCTTTAAATATTACTTGAGTGGGTACTGCAGCCAAGCTGCTCTTACAGGTTAGTGTCCTAGGCACTTCACAGGGAGAGAGTATATTTATGCCTCCTCTCTATTCCAGAGTTCTGGTGACCCTAGGGAGCTGTTTGGTAGAGCCCTTTTCTTTCTTCCTCAAAGCATGTATCCACCTGAAACTGTTCTTTGAATCTGATACTTGCTTGTGGAGCAGATGTTCTTGTTCTTTAGCAGTTTTATCTAGGTAGAGCCTTCCTGACAATACAAATAATGGGCAAAAGGTTGTATTTTACTTTACTAACTATATTGCACAAGTTAGTAAGAGAAGCTTGGGTCCAAGAATGCAAGATTGTGATCATAAATCAAATGACTTAAGTGTAACTAAAAGGGGTTAAAAATAGATGTTGAAATTATAGTAGTATAATAGCTTAGTATAATTTCTGAAATTGTTTACTCATTTCACACAGCTTGAAACTCTAGGACATGTTAGCACTCATGGTCATAATGCTTATGAACATACCCTCCATATGGATTTCTAGTGACCTTCTTCGCAATCACTTAGGAGAATGTATGATGAATTACTATCTTTGAGCTTATTCTGATAGGTTTGTTAAATATGCAAGCAATTACTTCAGTGGCGATAGAATAAAATAGTTCTCCTGTTTTATGTAGTTTTTCATTTTTTTATTTCGATTCTTCTTTATTCATTATTTCTTTCAGGGCTTTATTGATCACTATTTAAGAAGTAAGTAGTAGCAAGGACACTCCTGTATGAGAAACTAGAAGTTCATATACTCACCCATGATTTTATCTTCTCGAGAAGGAAAAAATTGCTCATCTGCAGTCCTTCTGTTTGTAGATAAATGTTCTTCCTAAAGCCGTATATGTACATGAAATTCCTGTAATTGATTATAAGATCACTTACCTGTTTCATGCAGCATCAGCATTCTAATGTGAATGTAAAGTAGTAGCAGTTCAGGAAGAAACCTGAACTCAAAAATAAGAGAGAAAGGTATCTTAAGTTACTTGGCTTGGGAAGTGAAAGTTTCAGGCATAGAAAGTTACAACAAATTATGCTATTTATTGTGATAAAACCTGCAGATAAGAGAACAAATTTTCATGTTATCAGTCATGGGTTTCCAGTTGCAGTACAGATTTTGTGTGCTACCAGCAAATACCAGTTTGATCTGTCTCAATTATGGGCATATGGTCACATTTCTGTTGAACTATTCAGAGCATCCTAGGGTATATATGATGACTTAATGCTTTCATAGTGGCTTTGTGTTGACTTTGGCTGAAGGAGGACAGACAGTACCTGATTTGCAGTAGTGTCTGCTGGTATGCAGTTAATCTGTCACTAGTCTAATGGTGAACCCTGGAGCAGCACTTTGCAGCTTAAGTTTTCTTTTCCTTGCTCTGGTACTTAAGAGCCTGGGGCTGCACTTGCTGCATTGTTGAACCATGGCCTCATTCATTTACTGTGTTTGTACTGAATTGAAGTGAACTTCATGTAGAAAACTTTGCAGCATGAATTTGACAAGCAGATATTTCAGCGAAGAAAACTCCCTAATGGAGTTGAAGTAAATGGATATGCAACAGCAAATTCTGTTTTCATCTGCAGTTTAATTTAAACAACAGTTTGCTCCAGTCAAACTTGGTTAATTACCTAATACCGTAAATATATGTGTATGGTTATAGAAGAAGTTTGAATGTGTGAACCTATTTTATTGTTTAGAATTTTGTACATTGAAGTAATATTATATTTTATCAAAAACCTGCTCTTACATTTCCATTTATTTCTGACACAATGCAAATACCTTTTTCTTGGAAACTGAAGTGCTTGACAGGTGCTGTCTGTTTCCAAGGAATACAGATTATAACTACATATACAATAGCAGGAAACAGAAAATGACCTTCATGAAGTTTGCAAAAATTTCCATAGCTCTGCTCTTCATGATTTTGTCTAAATATACTTGGAACAAAGAATTGCAAACTGTGTATAGTAATCTCATTTACAGGTATTTAAATGTGTCACCATCAGATATTTGTTCAGCACTGGAAGAGGCCTTGCAAAGAAACAGTTGATTTCAGAATTGTTTGTAAAAGCTGAATGTTTATTAGAATCATCAATAACCAGGACAGACTGTGTTAACGTAATAAATTTGCCCTAGATTGCTACCGACTGACTGAATGAAAAGGTAGGAGCCAGCTAGTGAAAGGATACTCACTTTGGATTTGATTTTGTTGTGTTTTTAATTGATGGAAAATGTGAAGGTTTCACTCAAAACACCTCTTCAGTTACCAGCTTTCAGCCTGTGCGTTGTAAATATAGTCTTCTAAGAAACTTCATATAGATGAGACATAAACAAGAATCATTATTTTTAAACTTGATTTTTTAAACCTTATTTTCTTCCCTGCCATGTTGTTCTCACAGCTGAACTCATCTCATATGCTGCATTTCTCCACTCCAAGAATTTCAAGTCCCATTCTCCGTACCATGAGCCCTATAGCCAATCTATCCATCCACTTGGACCCTCTGAAAGAGGCTGGTTTACCAAGGAGTCAATCGGCTGAGAGCCATTCCTCTTCCTCCCGCTCAACTGGTCGTAGGCAGCTTCCTGTCATTCCCTGTGGCAACAAGTTCCCCCCTGTCATTCGCATCACAAAAGCACAACTTCAGCAGGTGAATAAGCCTTGTCTTCATAAAAGTGACTGCATGGTAGCAGTCATCTGCAAAGTTAAACATTTTCAGTTGCTCTGCACAGGCCAGTAGAAGGCATGTGCTGGTCATACTGCTATACACAACATCATAAAAATATTTTGAAAGGTAATTTTGGGGAATAAGAATGGAACTTGTTCAGGAATAAAGTCAGGAATACTTTATGAGGAAGATGCATCATCCCACTTAGAAGAGGTAAAATATTTAAGGAGCTGTTATTCAGGCTATGATCTGGAGCACTGAGCATCTCTAGATGTTTTGGGAGATAAATTCAATTCTTCAGAGGGATTTTTTCTTGAAAAAGATAGGATTATAAAATCCAGAAAAAGATTTTTGTTTCTTTCTAAACCAAGATTAAAACCTCTATTTTTTTTAATGTGCTTATATAATAAGTACCAGGTGGATATTTAATTGGGAACATACTAAAATTTGCACTATCTAAATTATTTTAATGTGAGAAAAAAGGACCTGGAGATAGTCAAATTGCTACTTTGTGAATGAACAAATAATGAATTGTTCCACTGCTTGCAGTATACAAAACGATGGCAATTATCAGGGGTCATAGCTACTGGAAAATGTCACTAGAGAAAGGGTGCTTTTCATGGTTTTGTATTCCCAGTTTCATTTCAATATGAGAAAGATGAAGGCTTAGAATTATAACTGAAGTTAACAGTAATTTGTGCATTAGTCACAAAAATATTGTGATTTGCTAAGCAGCATGAGTTTGCGTTGACTGGTAAAGCAGTATGACATAGCATTAATGCCTAAAACTGTAACATATCATCATCATTTTACCATTAATATTTCATTTGGATTATATTTTGTGTTGCCTTTTATTTCTGATGTATTTTGACTATAAATATTTCTCTGTGAAAGACTTTTTTTTTCAGTGAAATATGCACAGGAGTACTGATGTTAAAAGTAACCATCAACGTTAGGTTCTTTCAAACTTCCATAGGATCAGTGGTGACTGATAACAAGGCAAACTAGCTAGTGTACTTATGTCAGCATTTTATCTGTTAACTGAAAAAGCAGGGGTTTCATCCTGCAGCCTCTGGCTGCTTTTTGTCTGAATAGAAAAAAAAATAACTCTGTCCTCAATTTATGGAAACAAACATTAGCTCCAGGATGTTCATTACTGTCATTCTGTGATGGAATATCAAAATACCACATTCCCTTTGATTAGGGAAAAGGGACTTAGGAGACATTAACTCATTAAAAATTAAGCATCAGTATTTTTCAGGATTAGTTTGCATCCCAGGATGCAAAATGTCTTAATTTGCCTGTATATCTACAATTTAAATTTTCCAATCAGAATGTATTGCAGGTTTAATTAGCAAACTGTTCACAGAGGGTCTTCTCCAGCTTCCTTAGTACTCAACAAATGAAGATAGTATTAATATTAATAGGGGCTGCAAAGTGATACACTTTATTGTGATGTGATAAAGAGCTGGTATTGTGCCAGGTGCTGCTACTGAGTGGTGTGAGGATTTTATGTAGCATTCTCAGGTGCTGCTTCTTTCTTTTTACCCGGTAAGTCCATATTCCTTTTCAAGCTGTGATTTTGAAAGTCCTGACTGTTGAGAATTTAATTTCCAGGTTTTGATTTGTGACAGAAACTACAAGCATATGGCTCTTCAGTTTATCCCAGCAACCAAGGGCCTTGTGTACTTTATGGCTCACTGAAGAACTGAAATAGTTTTGCAAGTCCTTCTCTGTTCTACACTGCAGTAACGTTAGGTACTTAGCAAGCTAGAAGTTCTGGCAGCATGAAGGATGAATATGTGTGTTAGTAACCTACAGTTTTTCTGCAGTTAAATTTTAAATAGAATTTTAATCTGATTTTGTATTATTCTGCATAAATATTGGTACTGAATATATTTTAATGTATTTCCTGCTGTTTGCAATTGGGTTCCACATTCATAACTAATGAATTGCAGAGGACAGGGATCTGTGCTGTTGAATATAGTTTCATGTATTAAAAAAAAAAAAAAAAAATACGTTTTTGTTCCTGAAATCAAGCAAAGGGATTTTTTTTCCTGATTGTTGACACTTGAGGGTTCAGGAACTGTAACCCACCTTCTGTTAGTTTGACATTAGGTAGAAGTCATAAAATCTGTGCAATATTCTCTGCTCAGTAGTGCAGAGAGGGTATGAGATGTAGGTCTACCTTTATTTGTTTGATAATGAGAGCTCCTCTCTTGCCATGCATATATTATGGAAGGGAATTGGAATACTTCTGTTTCAACTCTCCTTAGTTATTCAGCCTGCAGTATAAATAGTCTGGCAACTTAAAACTGATGAAAAACAATTATTTGACTGTATTGAATCTGAAGAGTGGGGCTAGAGTACTATTAGCATCCTTTTCTCTATAGCATGGTCCAACTGTACAGCAAAACCTCTTGAAACATACCCTCTGTCTTTTTTTCTGTGAATTTTTCAGCCAGATAAGTTCTCTGAACTCTGCTCCTTAGAGGGCTGTATAGTGTTGTATAAGGTCAATGGAAAACATGATGCGAGTGCAGCAACTGCTGGAACTGCTTTATACACAGTAGATTTGATTTTATTAAGTAGGGAAAATGTGCTGAAGTTCTCAGTCATGACAAGGTAACTGTTAATAACTTTTTTCCCCAATAAATTTTAGGCCAAAATTAAGTTGCTGTGATATTACAGGCTTCACTCAGCATCAGTGAAGGTGTTTGGTAATGTGTATAATCAGATTCAAACGCAAGCTGAGATTCAGAATTCTGCTTTCAGATGTTACTGTTAGATTCTTGAGGGCAATGATACATGATTACAGCTATAGTGACATTATTTTCTTCATTAGTAAGTTTCAATGGAGGATATTGATTTTCCGTACAAAACCACATAGGATGAGGAATATCGGGACGCATTATTTTAGAATGAAAAATGGGGTGTCTGGAAGACACACAGAAGCTCACAGGTCACTCCCATTCTTTTAAGCAACTGGATTTTATATTGATAATGATGTTTCTTGAACAATTTTCATCTACAGTCTAATGCAAACAAGTAAAAAGTTATATTTATTGCATTTATCTGAGTGGCAGAGACAATTGCTTGATACATAGAAATACAAATGCCGCCTACAAGGCTTAGTAAGGTCTGTTGTCTGAAGGAGAGTTCTTCAGGCATGTTTTTACATCTACCTTTAGTGTAAAGAAGAATTTAAAATTACAGCATTGAGTTAGCTGTTCTTCCAGTGGAAACTTTCCGGGTTGTAAATTTTACAGAATTAACAGTTGAAGACAGGCAGTTGTTACGAATGTCTTAATTTTTTTCAAATCGTATGCTGCCTGCAGAGAAAACATCCATTTGAAGTGGCAGAGCCTGACATTCTCCTTCTGTAGGTTTCTCTCTTAGAAACAGCAGAAAAGTTATAGTGAAGGTCAGGACAATAAATTAGCCATGGTAATAGCGTCCACATACGCTGATCATGTGGGGAAAATGACCCTATAAAAAGTTATTGTTTTAAATGTCGTGTTTTCTGGAATCCATTGTACTTTCAAGATTCCCAAAATTCATAACCACATGGCTCACCTGTTCTTGTCTGTCCCTGAAATGGTCAAATCTATTTATTTGTTTAAATGCCTATCTTATCCCTAACACATGTGATTTAGTACGTTTTTCTAGCATCATAATTTCCTTAGGAGAGAATAAGTAAAGATGTTTCAGGAAAGCTAAATGGTCTGTGGGGTTTCCCATGGAGAGCTGATGAACTCTGGTTTCAACAGTTGTTTCCATGATGACAATTGATACAATAATCTTGAAATAATTGGGTAGTTAGAATTCAGAGCCCAAGGACTGATGATTGTCTCACGTAATTAAGGTATAATTGATCTAATTATATCATACATACTGTGTATGAATAATTGCAGATATTATCTACAATATCACCCATAAAATAATATTCTCTTAAAATCTGTTGTCTGCCATCATTAAAATTGCATGATACTGGACTAACTGGAATTAGAAGAGCAAAATATGTCTTTATTTGGAGTTACTGATTTATCAGCATCCTAGCATTTTCTCCTGAACTTTTTAAAATAGAGAAAATAGGGGAAACACTGAAACTAGGACAAGTGCTAAGTGGAGGTCCCTAATATGCCAATCTTTCATTTTTGAAAACCCGTTCAGTTTTGAATTAGTATTAATGTTTCCTGTATTTGGCAATTCTGCAGTGTTACTACTACATGAACCATGGGTAGTTGTGTTTGCTTATTATGTAGCTACAAATGTAGAGCTGCTCTGACTGCTTTCAGTAGCTTCTAAACACAGAACACTATACATGCAGAGATCTTACAGATCGGCTAAAGTGGTGCTCCTTTATTGGTATAACTAATCTTAATAATACCAGGCTAAACCAGAATCAGAACTGACAATGCCCTTGTAAGTATTTTTATCGAGCTTAAATATCGAAGTGGCAACATGTATTACTGGCAACTGTAGATTGCTTGAATGCTTGGGTGGATCAGCTGTGTTGTAATCTTAATCTTGCAGCAGTTGTTAATGCTTTAACTATGTCACGGGGCTGCACTTTACATTTACCATAACTCCTGTTCACAGAGGAAAAACTGTGTAACCTAACAGGCTGCCAGAAGTATTAGGTATTTTGTTTTAAAAGATAAACTGGATTCTGATCTCAGGAGAGAACATATAAATAACATTGTAAGAAAAGAGAAAGACCCTTAGTATAGATCAGACTCCTGTCTCTAGGTATGTCTTCTCTAAAGGATTTCTATTAAGCGTGCTTATAAGCAAACTGAAAGCAGCTAGTTCTTTATGTAAATTACAGCTACTGTCAGTGGTAGTGTACTGCGGACATGAGGAAACCCATAATGCTTTTAGATAGATCCCAACTATTCTGAGGAGAGATTAAAGAAAATTTTAATCTGGATTTGAAGTTTGAAAAAAGGAAATTTTATGTTTACAAATTTTACAGTAAT